TCTTCGCGACTACCTTGTCAAGCAGGGTGTTACGTCTACCACCCAGCTTTGAGGGGGGGAAGTGTGAGAGTACGACCCCGTTACACTATTTTCCCCTTTCCATATTTCCTTTCTATTTCATTCCTCTTTTTATCCTCATTCATTTGGTCTTTATCTCATCTCATTTGGTTTCCTATTCCTCCTTTTCCATTATCCTTTGGTTTATCCTGTTATTATAATTATATCACCGACCAGGCTTGGGATGTACTGGCGCGCTATATCTAGCGTAATCCTGCCGAAATCCCTTGTAGCCAATAGCCTCGCGTGGCTATACGCATGGTGATTCTATATTCTAGAAGGGTCTATTCCCTTTGGATAGGATAAACCTGGTTACCTGATGTAATCAGGAAGTATAAAAGCACCTTGTACTGATTGATAGGGCAACATTGAGCAAACCTTTCCTCGGGACATTCGATCCTGTGACAGAACCTAGGAAGACACAGGAGAGTGTGCGGGCAGTGAGCTTGTCCATGCCAGAGGGACGAACGTGGGCAATGCAGCCCCGGACGTGGAACGCAGACGCGTCACCGGGAGACCCGGTCCAGAGGAGGGTCCGCGAAACCTGCGGCCGCTGAGGGTGCGGCCAGAGGTTAAGCTGGTGAGCGGCGTAGTGAACGGCGAACGGCCACAGAAAATGGGGTGCACCGGCATGGATCATGGAGGTACGAGCCACCTCCATAACCAAACCGATGCGTCGCTCAGCGACCCCATTCTGCTGCGGGGAGTCCGGCAAGGTGAACATCTGGGTGATGCCCTCCACACGACAGAAACGACCAAGGCAACCGGAGGCGAACTCGCCACCGCGGTCACAGTGGAGACGCAACATAGGGAGACTGTGGTGCACACGCGCAGAGACAAGCCACGGGATAAGAACGGCAGGCACGTCGGCCTTCCGCTCCAAGGGAAACACAGTGGTGTAACGAGTGTAGTCGTCAACAAGGACGAGAAAGTAACGCTCACGACGCGGCCCATGGACGGGGGCAGGGCCTAGACATCCATGTGCAGAGTCTGCAAGGGTGCAGTGGTGGGGGGAAACGAGGAGGAGTGAGGGGCACGGCGGAGCCGGCCCTCGATGCAGGGGGTGCACGGCGGCGCGGGTGAGGAGGGGAGCTCGGGGAACGACCCAGGAAGACCGAAGACAAGACCGTGCTGCGACATGTGACGAAGACGAGGGAGGCCAGGGTGACCTAGACGGTGGTGCCACAGGAGTGTCGGGTGAGTAAGGGACCGACACGAGCAAGCCGCAGCTACCTGAGGAGACACGGGCACCTGGGGAGACGCCCCAACCGGGCGGAGCGCAGTGGCCAGTGTGAACAGGCCGAACACCGGGTCTCGGGGGAACGTGGTGAGAGGAGCACTTGTGGCGGCCTCGGTACAAACAGTGTACCGCTCGTAACCTGGGAACGTAGTGGTGACGCCAAGGTCCTGGAGGCAGCCGACACCAACTATGTTCCTAGAAAATGAGGGGATGTGCAGGCCTGTAAGCAAGGCCGAAGGAGCTGCCGGACAGGGAAGGGTAGTGGAGCTACGAGCTACGGCAGGGCTTGAGGAAGGGTCAGCCAGGGAAACTGCGGTGGGAGCGGCAAGTGGCGTGAGAGTAGTGGAGTCCCGGAAGAAGCACCGGGAAGCGCCGGAGTCCATGGTGAAGGAAAGCGCAGCAGAGGCGGGAGGGGTCGAGGAAGCGACGGAGGAGCCTAGACTAAACAAAGCAGGAGATCCTATGCCTGACGCAGCAGGGGAGTCTAAGCTAGGCACTCCTACACAAGGCAATACGGGGTAACCGGAACCAATCACACTAGAGTCATCGACATATAGAGCATACTGCGCTGAGCTAATCTCATCTGTGTCCATATCAAAGACCTGAACACCCCTACGAAGTAAGGTGAGCCAGTCGGGGAGGTCGGGCGTCGGGCCGAAGCGAAGACGATACAGGTCGTCAAGGCGACTGAAACAGCGAGTGGTGGTGTGACTAGTCTTACCGCATACAAGGCCACGGCAAGGACCGGTCTAAAGCTGGTACTGGCAGCGCCCGTCGCCCGCACCACCATTTGTCGTTACGCCGCGCGCACGACCACCGCGACCGCCACCACCACCAGTGCCGGGCCACCCAGGCGGGAGACGACCAACCAGCCGCTGCGGCTGCTGTGGCAGTGGCTGCTGTGGCTGCTGCTGTGACGGCTGCTGGTCGAGCGAGGGGACCTGCTGCTGCTCGGCGGTGCTAGGCCCAGGGCCCTCGTTAGCACCCCCATCGGGCGACCCGGCTCCACCACCTCCTCCACCCCAACCACCCCCACCACCATGCCCAGCCTTGAGGCGGCGGCCCTTTCCAGGGCGGGCCTGCACTGCACGGGCCATCTCAGCCATTACAGCAGAGCCGTCAGAGAAAGTGCACTGAGCGGGCGCACAGCCCTGAAAGATAGAGACCGGCACCGTACCACTGGACTAAGCGATAGAGCGCTGGCGGGTCTCTATGGCAGACGGGGTGTCAACAAAGTCAGTGAGGGTGAGGTCAGCGGGGTGGGCACTAGGAAAGTGATCGTGGGCAGTGGCAAGGCGGTCAGGGAGGCGGGTGGCAAGCAGGTAGAGGGCATGCGGGAGGGGGGGCTTAAACACAGAGAGCTGGGCCTCAGTGCAGGCCGAGCGCCAGGTTGAGTCTAGCGTGCGCAAGTGGGCGGCTAGGTCAGTGGGGAAAGACGCGAGATCAAGGAAAAGCAGGGACAAGATCAGGCGGCCTACGGAGGCAGAGGACGGGGTGTAATAGCGAGTAATGACAGCATCGAGGAACTCCTGTGCAGTCCGGATAGACCTAAAGCAGGGACGCTCAGACAGGGGAAGCGCATGACTAATGGCAAGCTTTGCAACAGCGTCACGCGACAGCCAGACCGAGCAGGCAAGGGCAACAGCAGCAGCGGACTCTCGATCAGCAGACGTGGGGTCAACGGGCAGCGGAGCGGGGGGGTCAGGACAGGGGAGTGTACCATCAAGGTGGACAGCCAAGGAGTGGCCGTCCTACCGCTAACCTGTGAGGTGACGGCGGAGGTCGACGAGCCACGTGTCGAACTCAATTGGCTGACCCTCCGCGTCAAACCGCAGCACAGAGTCCGCCATCAGGAGCGATGCAGCTGCAGTGCAGTGCGGTGCAGAGCGGTGTAGCACAGTACAGTGCGGTACAGTGCGGTGTAGTGGGGTGCAGTGCGGTACAGTGCGGTACAATGCGGTGCAGTCGGGCGTCAGAGCCTGGCGCAGAGACGGGCGCGGGCCGGGGACGGTTCGGGCGCGGGCCGGCTAACGGACGAACGCGGGGCCGGCGACGGACGGGCGCAGGGGCCGGCGACTGGCGAGCGCGGGGGCCGGGGACGGACGGGCGAGGGACCGGGGAACGGACGGGCGCGGGGCCAGGGACGGGGCGGGCGCAGGGGCTGGCTAACAGACGGGGCCAGCTAGGGGAACGGGCCGGCGGCAGGACAGGGCCGGCTTCAGAACAGGGCCGGCTTCGGGACAGGGCCGGCTACGGAGACAGGGCCACGAGGCCGCAAGTCGACAGGGTCAAGGAGCCGCTAGGGGACGGGGCCGCGTGCTGCTAGGAGACGGGGCCGTGGGGCCGCTGGTCGACGAGGCCGAGGGGCCGCTAGGGGACGGGGCCGCGAGGCCACTAGGGGACAGGGCTGCGGGGCTGCTGGTCGACGGGGCCGAGGGGCCGCTAGGAGACGGGGCCGCGGGGCCGAGGGGCCGCTAGGGGATGGGGCCGCGGGGCCGCTAGGGGACGGAGCCGCGGGGCCGCTAGGGGACGGGGCCGCGGGGCCGTTGATCGATGGGGCCGAGGGGCCGCTAGGGGACGGGGCCTTAGGGCCGCTAGGGGACGGGGCCGGCGAGACGGCTAGGATCTACGGCGGAAGCGCTGGTGGGCGGAGGGGACCTAACCTACTCATGATACCATCTCAAACTGAAAGAATGAACTAGAATGTGTGAGTACAATGTAATATAGGCTAGTGTGTTGTACCCTCTAAGGCACAAACCTATATAGTCTACAATAACATACTAAGTTATATTTGACACGTCAATGTATCATACCGCAGCCGACACCACTGCAGGAACCGACAACCAAGCCCTTAAAGATTCTCGGCCATCAAGTCACAATGCAGCAGATTTGACGAATGGTCAATTTCCTCGTCCGATGGCGCGATCGGACGTCTGAGGATGACAGCTGGGTGCCCCTCGCTGACATAGAATAACACCCGATTCTAACAGCGTATTGTCAGCGTCGGAATGTTTCCGATGCCCGCGGCCTCGTTTAGGAGGAGGGGGGGGGGGTAGTGTAAGGAATTTCCATTCCTTACTGAGTCATACGCTAGCGCGTACACCCGAACTCCTCGACTCGTCACGTTCGGCCTCATTTGTCGGGCCAACCCTTTCCCGAGTCGCGTCCGGCACTGTCGCCACATTGCCAAACCTACCCACGTTCCGAGGTTATCGCCCTAGCATGCCAACCCCTATATGACCTCGTGCCTTCATTGCAATAGCGACCTTGTATTCTCACGTTATATTTCATTGACACTTCCTATATCATAACACCGCCATAATGTATCGCGTCGGTGAAGACGCCTCGAAATGTAACTCCTGCCAAAAGTGCCGAGTCGCCGACAAACGCGCCTCAGGATGTTTTGCGCACGTCGGTGACACCGCCAGTCCTAACATCGAAACGCGGCTAGGCGCGACTTGGTTGCACAGTTTTGCAATTTCGTCAAGTTCGTTGGGTCGCAAATTCGCTGCGTCGCACATTTTGCATTCGTGTCGCCTTGAACTTGCACCTCTTTTTTCGAATGTCCGTCAAGACTGGGCGAACTGGGTGTGCGTTCGAATTTGCCAAAAAAAAAAAACCATTTCGGTCCGAAATGTACCGCGCCCTTTGATAGAAATGAACTATTTTGATAGAAGGGTTCGCCCTAGCCAAGTGATGGTACAACTGTGAGGAAGCCCTTGGTGATCATCACCTTCAGAACCCATCTGTCGCCATTCCCGCGTAGCCACTCACTCATCTCGCACGTTCCCACGGCCCGGCCGCGTGTCATTGCAGTCCCCGGCTAGCTTTCCCCGCTCGCTGCACTCTCCTCATCGTTCGCCGGGTCCGCGCTCGCCGTTCGCCCGTCGCTGTCTCACCCGCGCATCGCTCTCCTTTCCGCCCACCCGCCAGCTGCTGCCACCTTCGCCGGCACTCCTTCTCGGCCGCGCTGCTGCTGCTGCTGCTGCTGCTGCTAGTGGGCTTGCGCAGCCAGCCACGACCGCCGCCAGAAGGCAAGGCTATGCCACTCGTGCGCGCAGGGAACCTCGGCGGAGTCGGGGGGGACATGCGGCCGGAATTAGACGAGCGCGCGCAGCACGGTACCTCGTTCGCCGCGCATTCAGGGGAAGGGGTTGGCGAAGAGGCGGGCAATGGGGCGGAGAGGCGGGAGGACGGGGAAGGGGAGGGGGGAGATGGCGTGCTGCGCGTGGTGCTGGTGTCGCTGGAGTACCGCGCGGGCACGTTCAGCGGCAACGGCGTGTACGCGCAGTCGCTCGTGCGCTCGCTGATGGCGCTGGGGCACCGAGTCATGGTGGTCAGGTGCGGGGAGGGCGGAGAGGAAAGGGCGGATCAGATGAGAGGGAGGGAGGGGAAGGTGGGGGGGAAGTGATGGGGATGAGGTGCTGGGAGGGAGGGCGGCCAGTGGATGGGAGGATGTGAGAGGAGTGTCGTTTGCTAGTGCAGGTCAGGAGCGAGCGGTTTTGCTGCGCCATGACATTCGTGTACGTCCCTCCTCCCCCCCTCTTTCCCCCCGCTCCACTTACCCTCCTCTCCCGCCTCCCGTTCCCCTCGTCTCTCCCCCATCCCTCCCCCACAGTGCAGCTCCCCCGCCCTGCGCCCCTGCGCCCAGCGGCACCTCCCCGTGCTCCTCCGCGCCCATCGTGCTCAGGCTGCGCCACCAGCCCTCGCAGTCGGATGGCAGTGCGGAGGGCCGCGGGGTGGAGGTGGTGCACGAGCCCTCCCAGGGCGAGGAGTGCGTGGCGGAGGTGCCGGTGGACGCGTGGGGACGCCTGGACTGGCGCTGCTGCTGGCAGCAGTGGGCCACGCGCCTGGCGGGCGAGCAGGGCGGGGCGCAGGTGGCGGCGCGAGTGGCGCGGTTTGCCCCGCAGTGGATGCTGGTGGTGGACTGGTCCGCCGTGGCCGCCTACCACGCCATCGCAGGGGCGCCCGTGTGGGGAGGAGGCAAGGGGACGGATGGGCGAGGCAGCAGCGATGGCGGCGGTGCGAGCAGCAAGTGTGCCGATCAGCAGGGGCATGAACACCCCGTGCAACAGCCCCCTGGGCGGCCGCGCATGGCGTACCTCAACTTCCGCGTGTACTCGCTCTCCCAGTACCAGGCAGGGGGGCAGGGCGGTGGTGGTGGCGCATCACAGGGAGGCGGGGCAGGTGACGGGGGGGGCGAGAGGCAGGCAGAGAAGGAGAAGGGTGGGGCGGAGGAAGAAGAGGCGGAGAGGGAGAGGGCGTTCTATCGAGAGAAGGAGAGCGAGGCCGTTGCCATGGCGGATGTGGTAACCGCACTCAGCACACGGTGAGATGCACTCAGCACATGCTCAAATGGATGGTTCTGATCAGAGGAGATGGATAGCTCTGATCAAATGGTCAAATGGATGGTCCTGATCAGAGGAGGAGATGGATGGTTCTGATCGCTTGGAGAGGAAGGGCTCCATTTGAGCCGCGCTCTGCCCGTGCTTCCTCCACCACCCTCCCCCTCCACAGGGACGCGCGGTACCTGGCGAGCAGTCTGGGAGCAGGGCGCAAGGTGGGCGGGCAGCCACGGGCACTGCTGCCGCCTCTGAGGGAAGACATCCGCGTGCTGGCAGTGGGGCGAGAGGGTGAGTGCTGGCAGCGGGGCGAGAGGGTTAGTCTAAGGGGTTCACGGTTTTGAGTTGAAGGTTGAGGTTTTGTATTCATCATAGTTTTGTTTAGGTTTCAATCCCTTCCTCTCTCCCAACCCCTCTCCCCCCTCCCCCAGTCGCCACCTCCTCCTGGCGTGCCAGCCGCACCTACGTCACGTGCTGCGTGCGCCTGTCCCCCGAGAAAAACGCCGCGCTGCTGCCCGCGCTGCTGCGCCTGCTGGCCCCGCACCTGCCCGCGCTGGGCGTCACGCCCCTTGTGTGCACCGGCACCAGTGCCACGCGTGGTGCGTTCGGGGAGGCGGTGCTGGCGGAGGTGGTATCAGCTGCGCCCGCTGCCGTGGTGGTGGACGGCTTCATGGGGGCGGAGAGGATGGCCCACGTGTACTCCCAGGTGGGGTGTGCTCCCGGGTGGGGTGTGCTCCCAGGTGGGGTGTGCTCCCAGGTGGTGTGTGCTCCCAGGTGGGGTGTGCTCCCAGGTGGGGTGTGCTCCCAGGTGGGGTGTGCTCCCAGGTGGGGTGTGCTCCCAGGTGGGGTGTGCTTCCAGGTGGGGTGTGCTCCCAGGTGGGGTGTGCTCCCAGGTGGGGTGTGCTCCCAGGTGGGGTGTGCTCCCAGGTGAGGTGTGCTCCCAGGTGGGGTGTGCTCCCAGGTGGGGTGTGCTCCCAGGTGGGGTGTTCTCCCAGGTGGGGTGTGCTCCCAGGTGGGGTGTGCTCCCAAGTGGGGTGTGCTCCCAGGTGAGGTGTGCTCCCAGGTGGGGTGTGCTCCCAGGTGGGGTGTGCTCCCAAGTGGGGTGTGCTCCCAGGTGAGGTGTGCTCCCAGGTGGGGTGTGCTCCCAGGTGGGGTGTGCTCCCAGGCAAGGTTCAAAAATACGGTTTTCGAAAAATACGGTCCGTATTATTCGGCCGTTTTTTTCGGGGATTTTTGGAAAAAACGCCGTTTTTTAAATAGAGCATCTTTTTTTTTTTTTTTTTTTTTTTTTTTTGCTAGACAGCCTAATCGTCTGCCATTCGTCCGCCCAAATGCGAGATCCGCGCATTTCGATGGGCGAAATGCCAGATCTGCGTATTTCGGCTGACAAAACGTCAGATCCATGCATTTCGTCCACAAAAAACGCAAAATCTGGCACATTTTGGTGGGAAAAATGCCAGATCCGTGTATTTGGGCGGGCAAAATGCCAGATCCGCGCATTTCGTCCGATTTTTTTGCACTTTTTTTAATATTTCGGCCGTTTTTTTAAACCAACCTATTTTTGCACAATTTTCACTGTTTTTTTCGTATTTAACGGCCGTTTAATTCGATACCGTTTAATACGGTATTTTTTTGAAAAAAACGGCGTTTTTTTTAACCCTGCCCCCAGGTGGGGTGTGCTCCCAGGTGGGGTGTGCTCCCAGGTGGGGTGCGCTCCCAGGTGGGGTGTGCTCCCAGGTGGGGTGTGCTCCCAGGTGGGGTGTGCTCCCAGGTGGGGTGTGCTCCCAGGTGGGGTGTGCTCCCAGGTGGGGTGTGCTCCCAGGTGGGGTGTGCTCCCAGGTGGGTTGTGCTCCCAGGTGGGGTGTGCTCCCAGGTGGGGTGTGCTCCCAGGGGGGGGGGGTGTGCTCCCAGGTGGGGTGTGCTCCCAGGTGGGGTGTTCTCCCAGGTGGGGTGTGCTCCCAGGTGGGGTGTGCTCCCAAGTGGGGTGTGCTCCCAGGTGAGGTGTGCTCCCAGGTGAGGTGTGCTCCCAGGTGAGGTGTGCTCCCAGGTGAGGTGTGCTCTCAGGTGAGGTGTGCTCCCAGGTGAGGTGTGCTCCCAGGTGAGGTCTGCTCTGCTCCCAGGTGAGGTCTGCTCTGCTCCCAGGTGAGGTCTGCTCTGCTCCCAGGTGAGGTGTACTCCCAGGTGAGGTGTACTCCCAGGTGAGGTGTACTCCCAGGTGAGGTGTGCTCCCAGGTGAGGTATACTCCCAGGTGAAGTATGTTCCGAGGTGAGGGGTACGTGGAGGTGAGCGATAGACTGATGTGCATTCCTGGCAATAGTGGCACATGCTAGTAATTGTAACTGTTATCCTGGCTAATTTTCAAGCCCTTACCTCCACACTTTGTCACACCCTCTTCTGCACTTCTGCCTTGCGCTCTCCCCCCGTCCAACTGTTTCTCTCCCCTCCTTCCCTCTACCATTCACCTCCTCGGCACGCATTCCTACCTCCACAACACCACACCTGCGCATGTTGCACACACCTGTTCGTCTGAACCCCTGCCTCACCACACGCCCTCACTCCACCTGCCAACTTCCTGGTCACGTTCGCCCACACACCCCCCTCTCTCAGACGCTGCTCAACATCCACCCCTGCCTGTACGACGCCTACGGCATGACAGTCGTTGAAGCAGCAGCCTTCGCTGCGCCCTCCATCATCCATGTCGGTCCGGGCGGTGCAGTGGGAGCAGCCGAGCTCTTGCTGCCCGGAGAACAGCTGGCACTGCCGCTCGACCTCTCGGCTGCCCTGCCAGTCGTAGTTGAGGGCATTCTGGCGCTGCTGCAGGACAGGCAGTATCTGGCACAGGTGGGAGTGGCGGCGAGGCGGCGTAGTTTGGAGTGGAGTGAAGAGGCAAGTGCCCGCGTCCTCTCCGCTATCCTGCGGGGCGGGCCCGCATGAATGATGCAGGACACACTGATGGATCAGAACAGACCCGTCAAAAGGACATAACCCCCTCAACATACGCCCTGCCTTTTATTTACCATCGGATAGAAGACCCCCCTAGTACCGTATTCCCCCAGATAAAACACCCAGGGGTGTTAGTAAAAACCCATGTAAAATTTTGAGGGGGTATAATTAATGGCACATTTTGTATAACGCCCGCAGGCTATGGAATGACACTTTTATGTTTATGAAGTGGAATTGAACTGTATTGTAGACAGTTCTTTTGTGCCAAATTTTGACGATTCTTGCACATGATCGCGTATATGGTGAGGAGGACCATCGTCATGCCACAATGCAGGCTAATAGTCACAGGTTGCCTGCGTCACATGTTGTCACGTTCTATCAGATCGTAGTGGCAAGTGGCAACCTCGACGCCACAATGTGACAGCGCACCAAAGCCGGAAGGAATCTGCTGCAGATTCCTTCACAACCCAACCAGGGCCGACCGACATGGATTCTCCCGCGCTGCAGTGTTGACTGTAAGGAGTGTGTTCCCATGAGCCTCGTATCAGACTCGCAACATTCGCCTGAGTGATGAGAATTCCAGGCATGGTAACAGTTCTACACCGCATTGAACCAATTCGCGTCGAGCTTGCACTGCTCAGAGACGCGCGAGTCTGATACGAGACACTCTGATAAGAGGCAAAATATAAAGAAATACAGTGAAAATGAACCAGGGGGGTGGTGTATAGGTTTCATGCCAAAAACTAGGGTGGTATGAATATCCAGTTTAATAAAGCACCCAGGTCCGCCCAAACCACCCATGGGTGATTAATTCCGGCAGGTGTTTTATCCGGGGGAATACGGTTGTTGGGCTGAGAAAAGCCCTTAGGATCTTTTGCAGAGACTAAGTCCCAGCTTGTAGAGACTTGAGACTTGGAGTAGTGCAGCGGAAGTTGAGACGGTTGAACCCTTGTACTAGTATGTGAGAACAAGTGATTGATTAAAGAAACAAGCATACAGCAATATATAGTAGACAAGAAAGCAGTTGTAGAATACAGTTACAGGAACGGTTTATCGAGTCGCACAGCGACTCGATTGCCGCTTCGGTTACCATCCGTGATGTTGTAACGGTCAGTCGCAACCTCCAGTTGCGACCTTTCGAGTCCTTTCGCATTCTTTGTCCGCCCCCTCGTGTAACCTCCGTTGACTCGCGTGCTCCCCTGTAATCTTCCTCGCGTACAGTGTTACACTTCAGAAACGCTTAAGTCCTTGAGATATTTCCAACACTCCCCTTCGTTTCTGGAGTGCTGGAGTGTTCAGATCCGGTGGCGTTTGTTTGCCCGGTTAGGAGCATGCAGTAGTCGAATTTTGCTTTCGCCAATTTCTTCGTCAGATAATCTGCGGCCATTTCTGTCGTCGGGCAGTAACTGAGTTGAAGTCTCCCCTTCGCGATTTCATCCTTGACGAAGAAGTACCGCAGGGCGATGTGCTTGGTTCGATTGGCGAAGCCGTCCTTGTTCGCGATTTTGATCGCAGATTGGTTGTCGCAGAGGAGTGAGAAGGCGGGCAGGGTCGCGATCTTCGCTTCTTCGAGTAACTCTCGTAGGTAGAGTCCTTCCTTGGTCGCAGTACAAAGGGCGATATACTCTGCTTCAGCCGAGGATAGTGCGATTAACTCCTGCTTGCTCGACTGCCAGGAGATAGTTCCGATAGGTTCTAGTCGGTAGATGTAGCCCGTCCTAGACCGTCGATTTTCGCTGTCTCCCGCGTGGTCGGCGTCGACGTATCCGAGTAGTCGTACGGACGGTGTTGTTGCCTTGCTGTAGGTAAGCCCGATCGTCGGCGTGGAGACGAAGTAGAGTAGCGCTCGATTGAGTTCTTCGAGATCTTCCTGTTGCGGATGCTTCAGATGTGTCGCCAGCTGACTCGCACTATAGGATAGGTCGGGTCGGCAGGTTACTGCTGCGAATAGTAGGCAGCCGAGCTTCTGTTGATACTCCTGGATTTGTTTCGCGGGGAGTTTTGTAGAGGCGCTGCCGTTGTTCCCGTAGCGGTAGGGAGTTGGGACCGCAGTCGGTGTTAGAGCGAATTTCTTCGCGACGGTGCTTGAATACTTTCCAGCGTGTAGGTAGAACGCCGTGTCGTCTTCGACGACGTTCAGTCCTAGGTACTGCGTAACTTCGTCGGACACCGTGAGAGTTAAATCTTCTTTCAGCTCCCCTTCGAACCAGGTGGCGATGTCGGTAGTTGAGCCGATGTAGAGCAGGTCGTCGACGTAGACGATGAGCAGAACATACTCTCTTCCCTTCTGCAGTCGGTACATCCCTTGGTCATGCGGCAGCTGTAGGAAGCCGATTTTTACGAGACGGCTGTGAAGATGCTGCTGCCAGAGCCGCGGGGCTTGCTTGATCCCGTATAGGGATTTTGTCAGTCGGCATATTTTCGTGGGGTCGTCGATGAATCCGTGGGGTTGTTCGACGAAGATCTCAGCGTCCACAGGTGCGTATAGGAACGCATTCGCGACATCGATTTGGCGTAGTGGTAGTGTTTTTGTGGCCGCGACGGCGAGTAGGATGCGTAATGAGGTGTGACGGGAGACTGGGGCGAAGGTTTCTGTGTAGTCGGTTCCGTATCGTTGATCGAAGCCTCGTACGACCCATCGAGCTTTGAATCGTTCGATGGAGCCGTCTGAGTTGGTCTTGATGCGGTACACCCATTTCCCCGAGAGAACGTTCTTCCCGTTGATGCTCGTTGCAGGTACCAGTTTCCATGTTTCTCGGTCTTGCAGAGCTTTTAACTCCTTTTCCATCGCTTCTTTCCATTTTGCCTTATGTTCCCCCCCAGAGCCTGCGACAAGGTTGAAGGCTCACGCGTAGAAGGCGGCGGCGGATGCTGGACGGAGACCCAGAGGCCTAGAATCTGGAGTCCCGTGGGTGTGTGTCGAGGGGAATTGTCATTCCCCGAATAAGCTGCTTCGTCACCGTCTTCGGGGTCAGGTAAGAAATTGGGGCCGATGCGTTCCGAAATATTCGTGTCGACGGGGTGCGGTGTAGCGTAACCTTGGTCGGCGAAGTGGTAAAAGGTGTCGAGGTTGTTGCTATCGAGGGGATTATCTTCATCGAGTGGAACAGGTATGGAACAGAATGGGAGTGGCCCGGCAGCTTCCGAGGCTCCAGGTACGTCTTCTTCTGCTGCGTCAGCCTCGGCAGCATGGTCAGCGAAGGAGCGAAGGCCCGCGAAGCCGTCGGTGGGGTCGTCTGAGTTGGCAATGTTGTCCAGGTAATGCTGCAGCGTCAGTCGCTCGTAGAAGATAACATCACGTGATGCCACCGTATTTTTGTCTTGTATGTCGAGGATCTTCCACGCGTGAAAATGTTTGGCGATGCCGAGGTGTAGTCCCCACCGAGCTCGTTGAGTGAAGCGTCCTGCTCGAGCTGTGTGGGGTCTGTATTGTACCATGCAGCCGAAAACTCGAAGTAATTTTGTGCTGCCCCTTTTTCCCGTCCACAGCAGGTGTGGTGATGCGTTGTTGGGGAGCGATGACGAGGACAACAGGTTGTGCAGGTGGACTGCATGTGTCATCGCGTCTGGCCACAGTGCGTTGGGCAGCCTCATCCCCAGAAGCAGTTTTCGCATCGTCGTCTGCAAGGTCCGGTTCATGCGTTCTGCTACCCCCTGCTGCTGGTGAGCATAGGGCAGAGACACCAGGCGTCGGATTCCCCTTTCCGCGAGATAGGTCCTGAAGCGTTGTGACTGGTATTCCAGTGCACCGTCTGACTGGAAACTCTTGAGTTTGGTTCCTGACTCTCGTTCGGCGATTGGAAGCCATGTGGTGAATGCCTCGAAGGCTTGATCGCGCGTTTTGAGATTGAAGTGCCAGACGTATCTGGTTGCGGCGTCGATGAACGTGATGACGTAGTTGAAGTCGGCTTCGGTGTCGTCTCGAGGCATGTTTAGAATATCGCTGTAGACCTTTTCCATCGGAGCGTAAGTGGGTGCGCTTGGATTGTGATGGGCTGGGAAAGGTTGATGAGGAAGATCTGCTTCGGGGCATGTGAAACACCGTGCGCGTGGTCGTCGGAGTTCCTGGCCGCTCGTCGTCAGAAGGGCGTTGCGTTCTAACACTTCTGCTTGGATTGTTTGAAGTATCGTGCTGTTTGCAGGATGTCCGAGACGTTGGTGCCAGATGTCGTCGGGAGCGCGGTGACCGGGCGAGCGGTGGTAGATGTCGGCGTTGGAGAAGAACGCGACGACCGAGGCGGGACTTCGACAAGCTTCTCGTGTGGCGGGCATAAGTTGGTCTGCTTCGGTTGGCTGTCCTCGTGTCGCTGGTGGTGGTACTCGGCTGGGTCCTGCTGCCGATACTGCAGGTGATGGTTTTGTTGGGACGCTTGCTGGTACTTGTCTTTCTTGTCTGATAACTGCTAATGCCCGTGTTCTCTCTGCTGCAGGTATGGTGTTGGAGTGCCAGAAGCCGTCACTGTCGAAGTCGGGATCAAGATCTGGTGGGTGAGTCCAGGCGGCGAACGATACGATGCCATCGCTGTCGGCAGTTCCGCGGTCGGGGACGAAGTCCAACACGAAGACACCGGACTTCAGGAGGGCACGACCGATGAAGAGACCGCCCTTCCCGTGGTAAAGTCGGAACTCGTTGGAGAAGGAGTCGCACTCCAGGTGAATCCCCTTAGCCATTAGTTGGCTTACGCTTAGTAGGTTGTATCCCAGATTGTCGACGATGAGGACTTTGTTGAGCTGAAGAATAACGTTTGTCTCCATTGATTGTAACTGAACCACACCTTGCCTGTTTGTTTTCAGGTTTTCGTTGTTGGCGACGGTGATGACGACGTCGCGGTTGAGGCGTCGCTCGTGTTGTACGAAGCGTCCGGAGGAGCACATGTGCTGACCGCAGCAACTGTCCAAGAACCAGGTGTTCCGCCCGGTGGGTTCGGCGTTAGCGACTGCAGCGTATGTCGGGTTGACCTGAAGTCCTTGCGAGCGCGGCGGCGGGAATTCCTCTTCGTCTGGTGCGTAAGTGGGTGGTGAAGCGGGTGCGCAGTTGTCGATGTGTACCATGCAGTTGATGATGTTGGGTGTTTGTTGTGCAGATGTTGAAGAGCGCCTTGGAGGACTTGCTTGAGTGGAAGCGACTTGTGGGTCTGCTGCACGGTAAACGCGAGGGCGGTTGCAGTTGACCTTGGAGTGCCCGGAAGTCTGACAGTTGTGGCAGAACGGCGGCACGATGG